ACCTTCCAGCTCGTCTTCAGGTATCTCAACAGGGTGCTGTTCGGCGGCTAAGATGTTGGGAATGGTGTAAATGCCCCGGTACATCAAGGCGGCGGTCACGGGGTGGAAAGGCATCCTGACGGCTCTCGGAAACCCAAAGCTTGACCCCAAATTTCATAGGAGGCGATCTGGTTGGCTCCGGGAGGCAGGAAAGTGAGGCAGGAGGCGCGCACCTGCCCGGGTTTGCTCTACCTGCGGCCGCGCTCTCTCTCTCTCCCGTCCTCTGGTCCTCCTCCTCCTCCTCTTTTGGCGACCGCCGTGGGTGAATAGCTGGGGCGGGGGACCTAGACCGGCTCAGTCCCTCTCCAGGCGACAGGTCCCGATTCCGGCTGGGTGGTGGTTGGGAGGCGAGGGCACCCGGCCCCGCTGGAGATGCTCTCCCCTCCGCCGCTACCTTCGCCCAGGTATTCCCGTCTTCTGTGTACAGGCCCCCCCCCCCCAAATCCCCAGATGGGAAGACCGCTTCCTCTCCGGACTCCCTGACCACCCGCCCGCCCCCGCCCCCGAGAGAGAGGTCCGCACCTCACCTCCAGAACCAGGGAGATCGCCTGGCGCCTTCCTAGGGCACGCCAGCCAGCCAGCCAGCCACCCGCCTGGCCGTCGGTCCAGCTCCTGCCCAAAACGCAGCGCTGCGAGGCGGCGAGGCTGCGGCGGGGCTCCCGCACGGCTCCTTCCTACCGCCTGGAAGACTCAGGAGGAGGAGGAGGAGGATGATCCGCGTGGACACCTCCAGAACCAGGGAGATCGCCTGGCGCCTTCCTAGGGCACGCCAGCCAGCCAGCCAGCCACCCGCCTGGCCGTCGGTCCAGCTCCTGCCCAAAACGCAGCGCTGCGAGGCGGCGAGGCTGCGGCGGGGCTCCCGCACGGCTCCTTCCTACCGCCTGGAAGACTCAGGAGGAGGAGGAGGAGGATGATCCGCGTGGAAACCAGCTGCTGCACAGGATGGCTCCGGGCCAGCTCCTAAGGGCGCACATGGGCGGGGAGGAGTGGAGGGGGGCGCGCGCGCTCACGCACACACACACACGAGCGCGCACACACCGACACAGAGGCTTGCCAGCACCCCCCCTCGCCGTAAGTTTCTGGGAGGGGGGGGCTTGCAGTCTCTCTCGTTGCTTCTCTTTCAGTCTCCACACCAGCGTCTTCTTGGCCCTTCCTTCCTCCCGTTTCCTTGCAAGCTAGCTGGGTGTCTCTCTCTCTCTTCCTCTTACACTCCGGGTGCCCACCAGCGTCTCCCAAACCCCCTTGCCAACCAAGTGAACAGCTGGATGAAGGAAGATCTCAATCCATCGGAAGGGGAGGGAGGAAGAATGGATCAGCTGCAGGAGAAGGGGGGGGGAGAGAGAGATAAAGCGAGCCGTTGGCCCTTCTGCTCCCTTTTCATCCCCTCTTCACTCTTGTGCATTGCACAAAATCCTGGCAGCCTGCCTGGTGTGTCCCACACTTGCGACCTGCGGAGTGTGGCTGTGAAGGGCCCTTCCGGAGGGTTCCTTGGCTTGTTTGCTTTCAGGGGGCAGGGGCGGGGGGGGTGAGTGGGAAACAACCCCACCGGGTCCTCCTTCTGGATTCTGTCTGGGGCACTGATTTTTCTTTTCTTTTCTTTTGCAGGCCCTTTTTGGAAAATGAAAACAAAAGACGCCCCTCGCAAGCTGAACCCGCTCACGGGTGTCCAAACCCCCTTTGGGCTCCTTCTGCCTGCCCTGCATTTCTTAGGAGGGGGTTCTGAAGAGCACCCACTTTTTTCCTGGCCGGGCGATTTGGATCTGAACATGGTCTTTGCATCTTCTGAGAAACAGAGGCTGTGCCCTCCCCCCCCTGTTCTGTCCTGGGGGTGGGGAGGAAGAAGTCAGCCCATATGTAGGAGTGTGGGGAAAGATCGATGGGGAAGAGCAGAGGTTGCTCTGTGGGAAACAGGGTCCGGGTGGTGGGGGGTTTCCTTCCCCCAGAGCAGCCGTTCTCAACCTTGGGGCCCTACACACAATGGGAAAGAAATATAGGCTGAATCTGGATTTGTGTGCATTGCGTAACGAACCTGATGAAGGTGGTATGTGAGGGACTTTTTCCAGTCTGTGCCCTCCTTCAAATGGGCCAGCCCCCATCCCAAGGGGGCCATGTGGCCCCTCTTCAGAGTGGCTGGTCTAGATCTCAGGGGGCTGCTGCTGGGAAGGGATGGCGGTGGTTTGCCGCCACCCCCCCATGCTGGAAGGATCTGAGCATCCAAGAGTCACACGGCCTGCTAACAAGTCATGATGCTGAGCGATACCTTCAAGGCTCTGCAGCAGAGATGAGAAGGAGGACTCCCAGCTCCTCTGGCCCCAGGCCTCCTGCCTGGGTCTCCTCGCTCAGTGGTTGCCCAACCTTCAGTCATTCACGTGTTCTTGGACCGCCATTCCCAGAAGCCTCCACCACCACCTGTGCTGGTCAGGGGGTTCTGGGAGTTGCAGTCCAAGAGCACCTGGGGGACCCAAGGTTGAGCACCAGGGCCGTAGCTGTTGGAGCAAAGCACGAGGGCCGATAGGGCTTCCAAAATGAATGTCAAGGCGTACATCTGTGTGGCCAGGCGGAAGATCACAAGAGTGTCTGATTCCAGAAGCCCAAAGCCCCTTTTCCTGGGTGAAACTTGTATAGACCTTCATTGAGCAAGGGCAGGGGAGCATGTAGCCCACCAGGTACTAGTAATTGCGCTCTACGTGGGGCTACCTTTGAGGCTGCTGCGGAAACTACAGGTGGTGCAGAATGCGGCGGCCAGATTACTCAGTGGAGTGAGAAGATACCAACATATCTCACCCACTCTGGCCACACTGCGTTGGCTGCCCATCCGATTCCGCATCGACTTCAAAGTGCTGTCGCTTACGTACAAAGCCCTAAACGGTTTAGGACCTCGATACTTGGTGGAACGCCTTCTCCCACCAAGATCTACCCGTGTCACTCGTGCGAGGCAGGAGGTGAGGCTGAGGAGCCTAACGCCGAGGGAGGCCCGGAAGGAAAAGACAAGAAATCAGGCCTTCTCGGCGGTGGCTCCTCGCCTCTGGAACAACTTACCTCCTGACATT